AAATAATTCAGGCATCAAAATCAAGAAGAAGATTTCGAGTGCCACTGAGCGATTTTAGTTCATGATTAACTCTTTAATTGCTCAGAGGGGGCAAATTTCTCAAATCTTGCATCGGTGTTTTTCCTGTTGTTTCTGAGCAATAATCGTTTCGAAATCGTCATTTTGTAACGGCGTCAGCCATTAATTTCGTTACGTCTGGCACTGTTTAACAGATGCATTAGAGAAAATCTCCAGGTCAGAATTTTAAATGAATTTTGTTAACAAACACTGAACCCTAATTACAGAGAAATAAACGTCTTGCTGTGCCAATAGATGGGTGTTTTAGTGTCTGTTCTATGGGATGGTAAATCCAGCAACATCGTGAATAAATGTATAAACATGACAATTAATTAATATTATATAAAGCCCGTATTCAGTACTCAAAGAAAATAAGAAATATGAATGAAACAAGAAATATATTTAATAAACAGGAACCATTACAATTTGCAATGATACACAATGACATATACGTAAAGAGAAATGTTTAAAAAGATGGGAAATGAACTTAGTCAGATCCATGAAGTCTATGGAATACCTTTGTGAAATTAAGGAACATAAATGTGTTTAGTGCCTCCATTTAAATCACTAGAGATTATATTTGTTTTCATCTAAATATGTCATTTTTGGTGTCCCCCGTCGTGATTTTGCTGGAATATTGCTAAAAGCGGGGTTAAATCCAACTCACTCACTCATCTAAATACAAAATAGGCAACGTTCCACTTGTTTCTTTTAGAAATAGAAAAATAAGAGGTTCACAGAGAGCATGTAACTCAAAAGAAACATGATTTTTTTTCGATCAGGAACTTCCGAATCATGTACCACCGAGCCGCAGCATCCTTGGTAACAAGGGTTTGAGTGAAATTAAAAAGTGAAAAGATACAGACTTCCATCAGAAAAAAACATTTTCTTACATTTCAGTAACATCTTGTGTGTGAATATTTCTGTTTTGGGCATATGGCATACCAAACTAAGTACCCGGGATTTCTCACTCTCTTCTTCAGTATTCTGTCGGAGAAGCTTGATTAGGAATTTCTTGTACGTAAAACAAAAACACAAAGTTCTTTATTAAGACTATTGGGAATCCCAATTGGGTTTAAGTTTTGTGCAATAAGGCTTTGTTTTACGGCAACGGGGGAGCATGTAGTTTGTCTGTTAGCCGTAGGCAAAAACTACACGAGATGCCGAATTAAAAAAGAACACTACTTTTTGTCCGGAACTCCACAAGTGCTCGTTTGTTTGATCTTCTTTCTTATGAAGAGAGTAAAAGCATTCTTTGTAACTCGGATGATGTTCAGAATCGCCTTCAGTGGCAAAACAGTGGCGTGTACGGTGTTCGCAATCAAACATTTGCTATGGAAAAGGGATAATTTTTAAAAAGTTTCATTTAAGCTTTCTATTGTGAAGTGGAATCCATGCTTGATACGTTTTATAAAAAATGTCCGTCACGAAAGAAATTTAAGTTAAATCCCCCCACCCCTTGTCCCGTCAAGGGAACTTGAATCGGTGAAGTAAAAATAAAAGTGGCTGGGGAAATTAGATTCTATGTTGCTGTTAGCACAATGTGACACCACGTCATTGTGTTAGGACACTATCAAATCTTAACATCCGACGGAAATTAGTCCTTGCTGTATCGACGGAAAGCAGCGTGCAGTGGCATACCGATTCAAAGCGTCATCTCTAGATTCACAGCATCATATTCTCTTCTGATAAAGATATTTATTTGTGTCAGTGAGAATACTTCACTCCATAAAATACTTAATGATAAAAACATTCATACACTGAAACGTATTTCTATTTATACATATTTGATACATTTTATTTTTGGCTCTCTTTCACGTGTGCGTCATTCTTTCCTTTCTAAGTAGATAGGTGTATGTGTCAATTGTAAGGCTTGTGTGTGACCAGGAGGTGTTTTCAACCCATCTGTGCCAACATTAAACATTCACGGCGGACTTAGGACGGCGAGTGCAACCAGCGGACCAATTAACATTTATCAACCTTTATACAAATATTACGGTTTTATGTTCGAAAAAGCTTAACAAAATATATTCCCTGCGTTTTCACATATCTGCGATATTTCTATGCCCACACATAATGATAGTTTGGGCGACGTATTTCAATATTACACTTTCGACCACCATTGCCCCTAGCTGTGCTTTGTTACAGCGCTGTTGATATAGTAGGGTCAAACAGCACACCCTGTCGACTCCCTCCTCATTAATACAGGGCTATACCTTTAGAGCATTGTTTAACACGGTTGGAGCAGCCGCGACCCGTTCTGAATTGGGTGAAATGCATTCTAACGAAGTATTCGAGTTTGAAATTGTGAAAAACTAGAATGCCGTAAATATTTTATCGACAGGTGAGCGAAAACAGCGCATTAAAGGATTAGAAAATTTGGCATTGTCCTTTTTATCAATTGATTACATGGCTTAGCCTGTCAAACCAACAGAGCTATTGAACAGTTTTATCCCTCAGTGATAACCTTATTTCTAACTTGGGATCGTTACTGCTATTTATCAGCTATTCCTTAATACGACTGTAACGATTTATTTCCGACACGAACTCACACTTGCAGAGAACCTAGAAGTAATTTCTTGTCGTTTAACGTGAAAACCGAATTAGTGGCGCGTTGTACTTTGAGCATCGATTTAAAATCTAAATTCTGCGTAGCATGTATTCTGCCACAGTTATCATCAAAAGGTCGCTATGTTGATTGCAATCTGAAGTACGGGTGAATTGAAATGACACGCGCCTACACAAACCCTAGACAGTGCAAAAGGGCAATTAGATAATATTAAAATTGATAATTCTCTTTTTGGTCTCTGCTGGGGAAAGTGTTGAGAGTGTTGAGGAGAACAGTATGCATTAATAGAAAGAAGTAGAGTCCATCTTGCTGGTCTCGAGTAAGATGTACACCATGGTGTCGTCATGGATCGCATTTAGGTGTCTGAGAGGTACCCAAGTGGTAAAGCATTGTCTGGTTTCACCCACGTTCCAGGTTCGATTCCTGTCTGTGATAAATGCCCATACCAATCCATATCAAGGTATATTCTTAATCACTCCTTTGCACAATACATAAATCCTTATTGTCAATTACTAACATTGGGACAGCTTCCGTGGTCTAGTTGATAGAGCGCCAGCCGTGAGAGCAGGGGGTCGGTGGTTCGATCCCGTCGCGTCATTTCCAAAAATGCGTTTTATGTAAGCGCATTTGGTAGTATTTATTCTAGTTTAAGATCTACATATCTTTCTTTCTTGAATAATGTCTGTAAATCTGAAATGTTAATGACTGATGTTATCAACTCACAAAATGTACATAATACTGAATAAACCTGTCTGTTAAAAGATGGTACTATGGTACTTGATATAGCTTGAATAATCTTACTGCGGCACAAAACAATAGTCACAGTCAAGTATATAAAACACACAAAATGTTCACGATCGCTACTTTAACATTTTTTCACTATATGTTTTGTCCCACATTGAACCTATGCGATATCCCATGTACGAACACATAGTTGTGCGTTGCACCTGCATAAGTATCTAATTTTCCATAACACAAGCTTTCATTCTAGGTAGCAGAGGAAGAGGTTGGCTTGACATGCGATGCATGTATCTGGTTATTCATGGGGAACCAGACACCATCAATGCCAGCCAGACAGTATTTAATCTCTGAAGAGTCGGTCGCCTCCGTGATCTAGTGGTGGAGCATCCGCCCGAAGAGCGGAAGGTCCGGGGTTCGATCTCCGGCCGCGTCATACCAAAAGACGTTAAAAGATGGTACTTGTTGCTACAATGTCTGGCGCTCGGCATTAAGGGGCTAAAACAAGGACTGGTCGGCTCGGAGTCAGTATACTGTGTCTGAGTGGGGTATTCATGTTAAACTGCGGCATGGTATCTCAGTGGGTTAGCACTATAAAACTGACATTAATCCGGATTAATATACACGTACTCATGTACACGCACACGCACACGCACACGCACGCACGCACGCACACATGTTCTTAAAGGGGCTCTCTGACCTCCACATGAAATACTTTCTCTTGAAGACTGAATACTTCACGGGCTTAATATAGTTTATAACATGATCACAAAATTATTGCTATTGCTCGGAAGCAATATCTTCCGCATCCAATTTGCACTTTTATAGTGCTTAGTGTGGCGTTAAACAACAAAGAAATCTAAAAGAACACAAATACACACTCGTTAAGCCTCTCCTTCAACAGCTGTGGCCCGCCTACGTGGTTTAGTGGATAGAGCGTCTGCCCGGCTGCGTCATGCTTAAAGACGTAAAGTAACAGCGCCGTTGGTGTGTTATATCTATTAACATTGATGACATTGTTGTAGACACTTTGTCGACTATTTAATTATGAATATGAAATCTACACGTATATGTATTCTTCGTGTTCTAAGAATACCTCTTACTGATATAAAGAACTACCTTATTTCCCCAAATGCCCAAGGCTACACTTTAGCAAGGATAGTCATATTTTGTGAACACAAGTGATAGATAATATCTCACCTCTCTGCGTTGATATCTCCAATAGGAGGTCGCGTCAGCTGAATTTTCCAATCAGCCAATCAGCTTCGAGACTTCTATTGTCTCTGTACGTGTGAGCGAAGTATTCAAACCAGGATATCTGATTTATGTATCTCGAAAACGAACAATGACGACAAGTTCCGAATGTAGAAAGTATAATATTGTTGTGGTAGATATTTCATACACCCTGTCGTTTCTGAGAGCCGTGGCACCTACACCCAAAAAAAATACCAATGAGGGCATAGTTGTGTTCTGCGGTTATAGCGAAAACGTCCGCACGCGAAAACGGCCGCTCGTCAATTAGAGAGAACGAACGCCGCGTTAGAGAAAACGTCCTTTGTACTGAGAGAAAACGTGCGATGTGTTTAGAGAAAACGTCCTCTGGTCATAAAATGACAAAAATACTTTTTGCCTCTAACAATTTATCATATAACAACATAAACATAACATTTTGCAATTGTCTTAATAACATTTTGCACTTTTGTCTCAATAAAACTTTACACTTTGTCTCGATAACATTTAGCACATGTCACATTGTTTGTGAGTAGCGTTTTTTCTCGCGTGGCTTGTCCACCTTCTTTCCTGCAGCATTGTGGTCTGGATAGGTAGCAGCTTTGCTTCGCGGTGAAGGGCGGAGATCAATCTGTACAGGTTAGCTCCTGTTCACCACACTTGGTGTTACGGCGTCTATGCCAACCTATGAATAAAGAAGATATGCAATCAAAATGAATTCATAAAGCGAACTATTGATTTAAACATGATTATCAATATCGAAGTTTTGACTCACAACAATAATTGTTAATTGAAATAAAATAAAATAAACATACCTTCAACGTTGTTGTTAGTAGTCACCGACTGGTTGAAGCGGGAGATTGATCTGCCAGGATACTTGGTACTGTATATCCACTGCCTCTCAACGCAGTCGGTGAGCTGGCGAGCTCGACCTTGGTCTCTCACTTTGGTGGTGATCTCAGTAAAGACTCGTCTGATGTGCTCATTGGGTAGAAAGGGCAAGGCCATCAACTTGGTGACACACTCATGTAAGTGCTCATCGTTGTTACCAGTGTAGGCAGTCTAAACAAAATAAAATATATATAAAGGGGACTGGTAATCATTCAGTTTCTCATTGATGATATCTTCAACAACAGAACAGATTGCCACGCGCCAAGTCTTTGACCTATTGTAAATAGTTATATAGTTAAAACAAACAATCACTCAACTGACACATCTAATCATTAACTAAACATCATTAACTAGCCTTAACATTATACAATGTACAGTGAGTTCATTTAAGTACTTAATTAATGTAATAAACAATTGAGTTTTAACCCGAACATCGATCAACACGCCAGGGGTTGAGGAGTGATTGTGACCGCGTTTACCAGGTGTGAACTTCTCATTATGTTGTTTAATGGTAGCAGGACAGGTGCTATTCTTGTTTCTGACGCTGGACCGCCAATAAACTGGAGGATTTCTTTGCTTCCTGTAATATAAGATTTAGAGTTAATTAAGGTCAAGCAGTTATTAGTATAACGTTAAGATATATCAGTCTTTAATTTATTCAAACATCATTTATGCTTACACATTCACAATGGATCAATTCATTTACCTTCATCATCTTCAAAGGGAACTGAGATATTTATGTGGGATAAATCTGGCGCAGTTACAGCTGCAGAGATCTCTACTGTTGTGCTCTCTAAAGTCATATCAAATGTGATGGCTGCAGCAACTTGAGATGTTTCTATGATAGTACTCTCGTGTATGGGCTGATCTCTACATTTAGAACAGACGAAGCCGTCTGATATGTCAGTACAATATCTGTGTGCCCATTCATCACAGACATCACAAGAGATGTACTGCTGACGACGGTACACCGCCTCCTGACACTCTGAACACTTAGGTCTCATGGTGAAGAATGATTTTATATTGAATTTCTGAGTTTATATATACTTATTTTACTTATTTTAATCCTTTATTAATTGAGATCATCTTGATGATCTCCTTTCATAAAACAACAAGTACATTGTATTTACCCATTGATTGGAAATTATTTTGTTGTGAGTCTTGTGGGCGGCTCGGAGTAAACTGTGTCTGATTGGGGTATTCATGTCAAACTGCGGCATGGTATCTCAGTGGACCAGCACTATAAAATCGGCATTAGTCCGGACTAGTACAAGCAGCAACACACACACACACACACACACACACACGCACGCGTCAAAGCACTTCGCTTTATAAGTGCAATAATCTTGTACGCGACGTTAAACCTAACCTCACCTCACATGAACCAGTTTGCACATGCAAACAGACGTGCGTAAGAATACATAATAAATAAATTCGTAAATCATGTCACTTTTCAAACATTTTCAGTATATGTGACCGACTGTACCAGAAATATGAGAACTCAGTTAAATGTTCATTATGGTAGAAATATTTATTGAATATGAGATATGGTGAATAAATAATGATTCTAGAAAAAAACGTACTCGTGAAATTTAAGTTCCACACGACATATATCTCGTGTGGGAAATCAACTTTCATATAATTGGTTCAATTACTTAGAACTTCACCACGCACAGAACCTCTTCTTTCCATAGCGTGCTTCCTATTTCTCAAACGATTGCATCTACGTCGTCATTTAGAATGGAATTTATCATACAAAATATGTATGTCATATGTGTATAAAGGAAATGATATTGCCCTTTGCCACAGCATGCACGCACGCACGCATGTTCGGAATAGATGAGGTTTTCATCTTCAACCTCCATAAAAGAAATTAGCTATCTACAATTCTTTATGAAACTTCAGTGTCGTACCAGGTATCTGTGGCCAATCAGTTCACTTAAGAAAAAAACAGTTTGTGTTGTGGTTAGTTTGTTGGTTTGTTGTTTAACGCTGCACTCAGCAATATTCCAGCTATATGACGGCGGTCTGTAAATAATTGAGTCTGGACCAGACAATCCAGTGATTGATATCATGGGCATCGATCCACGCAATTGGGATCGATGACATGCATCAACCAAGTCAGCGAGCCTGACCACCCGATCCCGTTAGTCGCCTTTTACGACAAGCATAGTCACCTTTTACGGCAAGCAATTCTACCCCGGAATCTTCACGGGTCGTTTGTGTTGTGACAAACATTGCCATATCAGGGCCCACTTCCACAAAGTATGGGAGTTACGAAAGACTTAGCGTTAAGTTCGCTTTGTGGAACGGGGCCCAGCAGAACAGAAGCAGTTGGAACAATAAGGATGAACACCTATGTCTTAGTTTGACATACTCAGCATGAAGATTTAACTGGAATGAAACCATTATGATGACGTCATGTTTTTGTTGTTCCAGTTGATTCTGAGCCAAGAATTTACCGGCCTTTCTGAACGTGTATTTTAACAAGCAAAACTTACGCAATTATAAATCATCTTGTTTGTTTGTTTTTTAACGCCGCACTCAGCAATATTCCAGCTACATGACGGCGGTCTGTAAATAATCAAGTCTGGACCAGACAATCCATTGATTGACATCATGAGCAATTGGGATCGATGACGTGCATCAAGCAAGTCAGCAAGCCCGACCACCCGATCCCGTCAGTCGCCTCTTACAACAAGCGTAGTCGCCTTTTGTAGGCTGAAGACCTACTCTACCCTGGATCTTCACAGGTTAAGTCATTTTGTAAAATTATAGAGAAATTATAAATATCAACCGTCCGATAAGTCCGAGAAGTCACTGACTTTTAAATGTCTAATTGTTACGAGGATTTAACAAAATGTAAATAAGATGTCATATTTAGCCACTTCAAAGTGGTTTACGATTGTTTCTTCTCATAACAATAAGTGCATTGTGAGTATTCCGCCATGCTAACGCACCGCTATATAAGTGCAATAATGTTAAGGCGACGTTAAACCCCACCTCACCTCACCTGTCATGCAAAATGAGTCCAGATCTGTTGTCTGACCCGAGGCCCGCCAATGGACCACTACTGTACGCAACACGCATGCGCTCGCTATCTAGTAATCATTTGCACATGCACCCTCGTGCAATCCGTGCATGCTGCCGGCGTCGTGAACGTAGAAAGGAGGGTCGCCACCTGTGGGGTCATTACTGAGGCAATATATTTGATCATAATTGGTGTTAGCAGTATTCCTACCTACAACAATGATGTGTATTTGACTGGCTCGACAAGAACTGTTAAGTAATTTATTTCATCACTGTTCTCTGTTCATCGATCAATGCAATTACGTTTCTCTTCACACATTTCCCTTTTCACTAAGGCTCTTCTGTTATCATCATAGATGACATTTATAGGTGCTTGTGAATAAAAGATATCTTCATATTTAGTAAAAGACGACAATAATGCTTTTACAAATCCAAACGTTTTTTCCACAATTCTTTGATGTTACAATTTCAGTGTACCCACTGATTCCATTTCTTTCTAACCTTAAATGCCTTCACCGTTTTGTCATCGAAGCAATTTTTGGACTACTATTAATCATTCACTTGAGATCTAATACACTTTCCATCGAGTTATCACTGTACCAACACGGAGCAAATGGCTTCCACCGGAAATAAATTAATTACAATCTAAATAGGTTACTTTTTGCAAGACATATTTTTGAGACAAACTTTGCATTAAAAAAGTACATGAGACAAAGTCACTGATCCCTCGCGTTTTAAACTGCGCCAAAGGGCATTTATATCACAGGAAATATGGACTTCATTGGAAGACAACTGGCTGTCTTTGGTAAATCCGACACTCTCTGTAACAACTGCTTGAAGTTCTTGAGACGAGTATTAATACACCTGGCGTCGAACAGACTCGGTTCTCCCGCTGAAGAAAAGATCTTGTAACTTAATAGTAACTTAATAGGGCTTATATTTCAGTTGATATTGAAGTTGTTTCGGTTTGAAATTGGAAAGTTCTAAGGCAATGAAAGGCAGATATTTGGTCGAGATTTTTAGCCGAGTTTTCTTAAAATTGTGGAAATGGTTTTGAAGATTTTAGGTATTACAGTTATCGAAATGAAATAGGAAATGTTGAATTTCTTTCACAAAATATACAGATAATTGCCTTACAAAATACATCAGTAAGATTTAAAGATAAACATATTTTCAACAAAAACATACTTTCCCCAAAGAGTTGTGTATATTTCCAATTTCACTACATCTCAGTAACAAATATAATATCTGGAAAAAGCAACTTTGTAAATTGATGCCATGGAGGAAAGAAGGGTATGAAGCCCACGTTCATCTATTGTGTGCGTATGTTTGTTTTTTTTGTCGTAAAAGTGACGGTAATCGCAGCAAGAGGTACCTTTTCTGGTGCAATCTAGCGGATTGTATATCACCTTACCACAATGGTACGGATCGTGTTCATGCGTCAACCACTGGAATGGTCTGCCTGGCACACACTCCATTGAAGACAGATTGTCCTGATATAGCTTGAATATTCTTATTGCGGCACAAAACAATAGTCACAGTCAAGTATATAAACCACACCAAATGTTCACGATCGATACATTTTTAACATTTTTTCGCTATATGTTTTGTCCCACATGGAACCCATGCGATATCCCATGTACGAAAACATAGTTGTGTGTTGCACTTGCATAAGTAACACAAGCTTTCATTCTAATTAGCAGAGGAAGAGGTTGGCTTGACATGCGATGCATGTATCTGGTTATTCATGGAGAACCAGACACCATCAATGCCAGTCAGACAGTATTTAATCTCTGAAGAGTCGGTCGCCTCCGTGATCTAGTGGTGGAGCATCCGCCCGAAGAGCGGAAGGTCCGGGGTTCGATCTCCGGCCGCGTCATACAAAAAGACGTTAAAAGATGGTACTTGTTGCTACAATATCTGGCACTCGGCATTCAGGTGATAAAAAAAGGAGTGGTCGGCTCGGAGTCAGTATACTGAGTCTGAGTGGGGTATTCATGTTAAACTGCGGCATGTATCTCAGTGGGCTAGCACTATAAACTCGGCGTTAGTCCGAACTAGCAGCCACACACAGGCACAGACACACACACGTGCATGCACATCGCAATATAAGTGCACTAATCTTGGACGCGACGTTAAACCCCATTTGTTAATCCCGTTGTGGTGGGGATGGTGTTTGAGCAGAGAGGTGAAGCTGTAAGAGACAAAGTGAATCAGTCGTTCACTATCTAAATCTTCACGATTACAAACTATCACGTTCACAAGACGTATGAAACGTTCATGTAAAACTGAACAGTGGTATGCTGCAAACGAGTCATGATTCACGCTAACTATTTTCAAACCCAAACTTAAAAAAAACCCTGTGACGCCATTCTACTGTTTCAACCAACCCATCGGGAATCCGGGTAAGAACTGGTCCCAAGCAACCTGCTGGTGGTAAAAGTACGCTTTATTAATAATGGATCGGGTGGTCAGGCCCGGGAACTTGGTTCTTTGCCTGTAGTCGTACCCCGACGGCGTGGATTGATGCTCATAACATCAATCTCTGGTTTGTCTGGTCAAGACTCGATTATTCACATCAGGCTGCAGGCTGAAATAGAACAGGAATATTGCTGAGTACGGCGTCAAACAACAAACAAACAATTATTGTTTCACCAATACAAGGCCCACGATGTATGGTTTCGGACGATTACATGCCATCTAATGTTCACGGTATCAAGTCTTACCGCAGCTACGAAATCATAGCTACGCACTGTTCCGCTTGTACTGTCTGACATCTACTGGTCGCTAGTACATACTGACTATCCCTCCTCCTACAGTCATAGAGTCCGATGCTGCTTTTGACCTTCAGATGACCGGTCAGATTGCACATTACATAATATCGTGGACATGTTTATTCGTTTATTTTTAGGGACACCAACTATTTCGTTTGAAAATGTATTTTGTCGACAGTTATACAGCTGTAAACACGAAGGGCAGGGGTTCCCTCACTGCCATTGTATTGTGTTAATAGTAACAACGGCCAGGGTGCCGTTGGACGAACCAGCCTTAGCGCTACGTCTGTTGTAAGTCTATGTTAAGGTATTGGTGTTGCGAACACCTAAGCGCTAAGATCGCTTTGTACAGCGGCACCCTGGAAACTCAGTAAACCCTCTCGTATTGTTTGTTTGCTGTTTTACGCCGCGCTATTCCAGCTAAATGACGGCGGTCTGTCAATAATCGAGACTTGACCAGACAATCTAGTGACTGACATCACGAGCAAACGGGATCCGGTGGTCAGACTCGCTTATAGATGGTGCATGTCATCTTATCCCAAATGCTTCCATCGACGCTCATGATGTTAGTCACTGAACTTTCTGGCTCAGACTCGATTATTTACATGCCGCTGTCATATAGCTTGAATATTATTGACTACGGTGTAAACAACAGACAAACAAGCACTTGGCCTCGGTCTTTCTAGTACCACGAAGACCCCCGTATCTTAACAATTACTACATATACGTAGATCCGTCGTCGTTGCATACCGAGAGGTTTCACCTACGAATATAAGGAACGGGTCGTCAGGGACGGGTCTTGATTAGAGTTAAGTACCGAGTTCCAATCTCCATGTCATTGTTGGACCATTTGTCGGTGATGGTGTTACAAGTCTTCTTTTAATGGCTCACATTACACGCCACTAACTAAAGAATGAAAATGTGATTTAAGGCAGACAAGTCGTTGTGCAGACTCGCCCCGCTTAGACGTAACAGGATCCTCTATTCGCGATTGCGATTTCGAATTCCAAAATGTGATCGTTTGTCTGTCAGCACCATGCCCGTGCTCGTGGGTTGAACGTCTGATACCTACACCACTTCGGGCTTTTCTATCGCATAGAGCCTGGCCACTCGTACTAATCTTACATGCCGATTGTATAGTGCTCGCCCACTGAGGTACCATACGGCAGTTTTACATGAACATCCCCTTACTGCCGCGCGCCAGGCAGGGTAACAAGCAGTATTATCTGTTGACGTCTTTTGATATGATGCGGCCAGGGGAAAGAGCCAACGACCTCTATGCTCTCCGGCCAGATGCTCTATCCACTACGGAGGCGGTCTGTGAAGGTTATGCATCTTATTTCTGTTTACATCTACAAAGAAGCAAATGTAGCATTATATACATGTGTTTACTGAGCTCAGTATGACATTTAAAATATATGTTTATACAGCCTAATTTAACAAGATATGTATCAACATGTATTTCACTTGACTGGCGATGCGGATAGTCGAGTGTTAAAGCATCACACAGATTCCTCATGTGAGTTAGTGAGTGAGTGAGTGAGTGAGTGAGTGATATATGTGTATTATTTGTCATTGTAACATAAACTCTATGTGTTTGTTTATTTAACGCCATAATTTAGTGGCATGACAGCTATATAACAACGGTCAATAAAATAATTGATCTGGATCTGACAAACCGGTGATTGATATTATGAGCAACGATCCACCCGACCCCACCCCTTTGGGGACCAATGCCACGCAAGTCAGCTAGCCATGGAAAACCTGATCAGTATAGTCAATGGGAAGCTATTGTAACCCGGAATGCCATGGAATGTCCTGTTGTTACAAATTCCCAAAATCTGTGTGAGAATACATTGACAAAAGCGTGCTCACTTGAAAGAAAATTCCTCTTTTTTAAACTTGGGGATTTACGGATTTTGAACATGTAAATCATCCCTTTGGTCAATAGACTTTGACGTAGTATATTATGGTCATAAAGAGAAAGCCGATGAATTTTAGATGGTAATATATTTAGATTGATAAATATCTCCATTAAATATCAATATTCCAACAATGAAATATGACCAACTGTCACCAATTTCATACTTTCTTGGTTGTTAAAAAAATAAGGATCAGTCTCGGTATCAGCACGTTGAGATTGCCTATTGATTCAACTTTATCGTCGTGTTTTATAAGGAAGCGGGGGTTATTTGGCGAGGGCTTCCAGTGCAAATAATGAACCATCTCCCTTTGGAATTCCAAACCAATATCCTCTGAATAAACGCTATAACTATCTATATACTTCATGGCCATCAACACGCAATATTCATGGATTATTGTGAATAGTATGAAGTGATCCCCAATGTTTC